TTCAAACTTATTCACCCTGTTCAGGCTCTGAAAAAATCAGAATAGCTGATGGTTCTTATTCTCCTATTGCAGGCAAAGGTTTGGTAAAACTTTCAAAAATTATTGATCTTAAGTCTGTCCTTCATGTCCCTAAGCTTGCTTGTAACCTCTTATCAGTTAGTAAATTGTCCAAAGACTCTAATTGTCGTGTTATCTTTTTTGAATCCTATTGTGAATTTCAGGACCAGAGCTTGGGGAAGACGATTGGCAGTGCTAAGATGATAGATGGTCTCTACTATTTTGAAGATGATATTTCAAGTAATAAAAAGGCTCAAGGTTTGAGTAGTTTTCGTTCTGTCCCTGTTAGAGAACAAATAATGCTATGGCATTTTAGACAAGGGCATCCTAGTTTCCCTTATCTTAAAAAATTATTTCTTACTTTGTTTAAAGGATTGGATTGTTCATCTTTTTATTGTGAGAATTGTTTTTTATCAAAGAGTCATCGTACTACGTATTCTCCCAAACCTTACCAAACATCAAAACCATTTTATTTAATCCATAGCGATGTTTGGGGCCCTTCTAGGATCACAACTCTTTCTGGAAAAAAAGGTTTGTGACTTTTATTGATGATCATACACGTTTGTGTTGGGTGTATTTAATGAATGAAAAATCTGAGGTTGAAAAATTATTCAAGGATTTTTATATGATGATTGAAAATCAATTTCAAACAAAAATTGGCATTCTTCATACTGATAACGGCACCGAATACTTTAATGAAGTTTTAGGAAGTTTTTTAACAGAAAAAGGAATTTTTCACCAATCCACTTGTGTTGACATGCCCCAACAAAACGGAATTGCTGAAAGAAAGAATAAACATTAACTTGAAGTTTCTCGTGCCATCATATTTTCAATGAATGTTCCTAAGTATTTGTGGGGTGAAGCCGTTTTAACAGCAACATATTTAATTAACAGGATACCTACTCGTGTTCTTAACTATTTTACACCCATTGAAAGCCATAAAAAATCTTTTCCTGAAACTCGGATTTATTCCAACCTTCCTTTGAAAGTATTTAGGTGCACTGTCTTTGTCCATTTACCTAGTAGACTTCGGTCTAAATTGGACTAAATTGGATCCTCGGGCTCAAAAATGTGTATTTGTTGGGTATGCCCTGAATAAAAAGGAGTACAAATGCTTCAATCCGAAAACAAAAAAAATGTTTATCAGTATGGATGTCTTTATTCTAGAAAATCATCCTTATTTTCAGAAAACTTTTCTTCAGGGGGAGAAAGAGAGCGAAGAAAATTTTTGGGAGATTTCTACTAATATTCCCTTACCTAAAACTATTGTCTCACACTCTATTACTCCGAACACTGATCTTTTTAAACAGGGAAATGATGTTCTAGAATCAGGAAACCCGGGGCCTCCTAGTCCTAATCTGCCGAGCCTTACTGTATCTCCAACAGGGGGAGAAATCCTACCAACGGTTCCAAAAAAACCGAATCCTGAGCTTCTGGTTTATAACAGGAAAAAGACTCATCAAAAGAGTAGAGAGCCTACTATTGTACCTGAGCAAGGCCAATCAGAGGTCCCGAGCAATGACTCCCTGAACACTCAAGGTACTCTAAATCCTAACTTATCTGCAGTTGTCCCTACTATTTCTGATCGTACAGAGTCACCTAGCCAAGTTCCTATAGACCTTGATATCCCTATAGCTGTAAGAAAAGGAATCCAAACCTGTACCCAGCATCCCATTGCCAAATACTTGTCTTATGATAAACTTTTCCATAAACATAGGGCCTTTACTTCAAATATTTCTTACTTGTTTGTTCCAAGAAACATTCAGGAAGCACTAAATGATCCGAATTGGAAATCGGCAGTGTTAGAGGAGATGAATGCTCTTAAAAGGAGTGGAACGTGGGAGATAGTTGACTTGCCCAAAGGAAAGAAAACTGTTAGGTGTAAATGGGTTTTCACTATTAAGTGTAAAGCTGATGGTAGTGTGGAAAGGTACAAGGCAAGACCTGTGGCGAAAGGTTTTACGCAAATGTATGGCATTGATTACCAAGAGACGTTTGCTCCTATAGCAAACATAAATTCTATCCGAGTCTTATTGTCGTTGGCAGTCAATTCTAACTGGCCATTACATCAGTTGGACATAAAAAAATGCCTTTTTAAATGGAGACTTGGAAGAAGAAGTGTTTATGAGCTTGCCACCTAGGTTCGAAGGAAAACACGGTCAGAGCAAAGTTTGTAAACTCAAAAAATCCCTGTACGGTTTGAAACAGTCTCCAAGAGCGTGGTTTGAACGCTTTGGAAAGGCTGTGAAGAGTCATGGATATCATCAGAGTCAAGCAGATCATACCATGCTCTACAAACACAGTGAGGAAGGGAAAATTGCCGTTTTAATTGTGTATGTGGATGATATAATTTTGGCAGGTGATGACATTGAAGAGTTGACCAGACTGAAGAAGAAACTTGCTAAAGATTTTGAAGTCAAAGATTTGGGAGCATTAAAATACTTCCTTGTAATGGAATTTGCCAGGTCAAGAGAAGGAATTTTCGTGAATCAACGAAAATATGTACTTGATTTGCTTAATGAGACAGGACTACTCGGGTGTAAAGCTGCTGACACTCCAATTGAAGTCAACCTGAAGTTAGAAGCTGCCGAACCCGAGAATATGGTTGATCGTGAAAGATATCAGAGATTGGTGGGAAGACTAATTTACTTATCTCATACACGCCCAGATATAGCATTTGCAGTCAGTATGGTGAGTCAGTTCATGCACTCTCCTGGAGAGGAACACTTTGAAGCAATGTACAGGATTCTGAGGTATTTAAAGGGCTCACCAGGTAAAGGACTTATGTTCAAGAAACAAGGTCATTTGCAAGTGGAGGTGTACACAGATGCTGATTGGGCAGGCAGTATAGTTGATAGACGATCTACCTCTAGATATTGCACCTTCGTTGGAGGAAACTTAGTCACGTGGCGAAGTAAGAAACAAAATGTAATAGCAAGGAGTAATGCAGAAGCCGAGTTCAAAGCACTCACCCATGGGATTTGCGAAGCTATGTGGTTAAAAAGAATCCTTGAAGATTTGAAGGTTACTGTTTCTCCTCCAATGAGAGTCTACTGTGACAACAAGGCTGCCATTTCAATTGCTCATAATCCAGTCCTCCACGACAGAACCAAACATGTGGAAGTTGACAAACACTTTATCAAGGAAAGGCTTGACTGTGGTATGATTTGCATTCCTTATGTCTCTACTACTGAACAAGCTGCAGACACCCTTACCAAAGGACTACACGAGACAGTTTGAAGTTTTAAGAAGCAAGCTAGCTATGGAAGACATCTACAAGCCAGCTTGAGGGGCAGTGTTGAAAAAAGAGATATTCGGTTTTAATAAGACTAGATTTTAGGGTATATGATAGGAGTGTAAATATAGATAGTCAATGACTAAGATTAGGAAATTATGTTAGTGTACAGCCTGTAGTTGCAGCCAGTAGTCACAGCCTGTAGTTTCATGTTATAGCCTGTAGTCACAACCTGTAGTTTCTTTTTTTAACTCCTTGTATTTCCTATTTAACTAAAGCATTGTAAACCATTCTTTGTACGGCAATATACAGATTCTTTTCAATCTTGAAATCGCCTATTATACTTTTTATTGAAAAGGTACAACTAGTACTAGCTAGCAATTTAGCACACTTGGTATTGAACATAAGATTGTTGTTTTTCAAGACTGTTTGATGATCATTGGAATTATAGTTTTCATATAAATTTTATTTTCATCAATTTGCTGATCATTTTTTTATGTATTAAATAATTTATTTGTTCATAATTTTCAGGTTTTGATTAATTTATGAACACTCTGGAAGACATGGGAGATTGCAGATGCCAGATAGATCATTTAAGGGATTTAAATAAGTTTTTGTGTTTTTGTTATCTTTTGTTAATTTCAGACTTCAATTTTGGATAATTTAGGATGTAAACTTGCTTTTGTTTTGGTTATGGTGGAAAGCTGGAGCTTAGAACTTCTTGTGATTTGGTTGTATTAAACCGTTATTTTTGTTGATCATGTTCTTTGAATTATGCTACAGGCATGCTATTTATTTATTTTTGTTGGGATTCATATATGTTATGCCATTTCCAGGCTTTTTACAGTAAAATCATAGCTTAAGTCCCAAAAAGTGGAAGGGAAAATTTATTGGCGGGGCGGGCACAGGTCATAGTTTATTAAGTTTTAAAAAGTTAAAGAAAAATTTTGATAACGGGGCAGGCACGGGGCACAACATTCCCCAACGGGGCGGGGATGGATATGAAAATCCAACCCGTCGCGGGGCACGGGGCGGGCATGGAGTTGCCATTAATCAATGGGGCGGGGATGGATTTAGGTAAACCCGCTCCAAACCCGCCCCGTTGCCATCCCTATGCTTATTCATGAATGAGATTTTACCTAATTCACAATTCAGGAGAGAGGCAAGGAATTTGAGGACAGCTTGATTGTTAGACTATATATTTGCACCCTATTTGCAGTTAGCCAACAATATTCTCGCAAGTTCAAATGGATAAGTGGAGTGCTCAACCATTGATGAAACAGTTCAATAGTTGATTGATTTAGCCTCCTATCTATGAGGCAACCAACATCAAAATTTCATCAAGCAGATATATAAGAGGGAGAAGAGACATAAAGCATCCATTCAACCATTCATCAATTTCACTTCATGTTTTGCAACCAGATCTATTTATGTAATTTGGTTTACCCACATGCATGTTACCAACTTAACCACAAATCCTTCACTGGATTCAAAGACATTGATATCAGATGTATACCATACTTATGTTTACCACCCTGAACTGGAGTTTGGAGAATAAAAGATATACCAGAAACTATTTTAGTTAAGAATGTCATTTAGTCATGTAAAACAAAAAATGAATACTATGACATGGAGCAACATGTGCAAGCTGAAGGCTAGAAGAATAAGTAATCAAATGGTACAAAAAGTACATTGTCATGAATTGTACCTTATCCTGGACCGAAATTTTGTTGTTGAAAATTTGTGCTGCCTCTTCAGGAAGTATATTTTTATGTCTATGTCTCTCAGTTTTTGATCTTTCCAACTTAATCGGGCTTGAAGGCAGCTCTAATTTGTCAGAATCCAGTATCCTCACTGGTAAAGTATTGACTCTAGGAAGATTACTACCACCAGTCCCTACCATGTTAATTACAATCGATTAGAGATTGAAACAATTAGGGAAGCTTTAAAATAACACTAGTATAGTTCAAAAACCTTGACCAATAATTCTTTTATGAGAACCCATTTTGAGTTAGATTAGTACCCAAACCAATTCTAACAACAATAAAATCTGGTCAACAAACAAAACCGATCCTGTATATCTCTCTGCCAACGCTAATTACAAAATAAAGAATTAGCACGTCTTCATCTCCATTGAATCAGCACATCAAAGCATGCAAACAATATGATATATATTCAACAACCACCATATAGGATAAAACATTTTTAATTCCCTATCTAGTTGCTGAGACGAATAAAAAAGAAAACTCAGATTTTGGAATAAATAATTCCATTGCATTCTGTTTGGCTGGCAAGAAACCTTCGAAAACAAGAAGAAAATAAGAACTTAAATATAAACTTTTCAAATAATTTGGTTGCCAAACTTAAGAATAAACTAAACCAAATAGCTGTGGTAGCCTTATAATTAATTTGAAATTCTTCTAGGTCACAGTATTATACTCTCGGAGCTTCAGCTTGAACTTAAATTTTCTTTTTTCAATTTTCGTCACATTTCCTAGGTAAATAAAGAAAGAGCTATGAGTTGTTCGATACCAGAGAGAAAAATATAAACAAATAAGCTAGCACATGAAGACCTGTAACCGGTTTGAGAAATAATAGCACAGTTGTAATTTTCATTTCTTTTATTTTCCTACAATTTCTCGTCAACCAAAAGGAATTTCTACGGAAACCGGAATCGTCCAGTGAACTCGACATACCTGACGAATTACTGCCGCCGTTGGATAACAAACCACCTGCAACCACCTCCCTGCTGTCCAATTCAGCAACACTACAGCTACTTTCAGCAGCAACTTCCCGTTCGAATTCGACCGGAACTTCACCGGAGGAGCTTCCACTATCGTTCTTCGGAGGCAACTCCGCCATCGATGGCACAACCGACTCCGGCGAACTCTCTCTGCCGAGTCGCTTTTGCTGTTCTCGATCCAGATCGACAGAACTTTCCAGAAACTTCTTATATGTATATAAATATAGAAAAATATCTATGGAGGCGAGATCTTTTGTGGGAGAGAAGGATTTTAGAGAGCGAAAGTAGAGAGAGAAAGAGGGGCCACGTTCGAGGGAGTGGGTGGAGGGTCTGAGATTGTAATCGGACCGAGCGGGAGGGGGGGCACGGCAAAGGACGGGTAGAACCGTCAGTTCATGAGAGGACAATTTGGGGAATTAGTTCTGCGAGGCAATCACTTGTCTTTTATGTTATCGTTCTGATTACTAATTTATCCTCCAGGGTTGATTTTATTACTAAAATGTCCTTAGCTTAACAGTTGTTTAGCTTGCATGTAAAGGCAAATTATTCTGTGACCAGTTACAGTCGGCCGTTTGTTTCAGCTTTGGGATACATTTGGTACCAGCAAAATAAATAAATAAGGGCTCAATTGGGGGATGTTTTTTTTTTTTTTTTTTTGCAAAACATTGGAATAATAACAAAATCTTGTTTGGATGCAACTTTTTCTTTTTTTATTTGATTCGAAACAACTCAAAATAGATGGTAGAAAAATGCTTTTAAAAAAAATGCTTTCCAATTCTTTTAGATTAGGCTTGTTTAGCGCAAAATATTTTTTAAAAAATAATTCTTGTTATTTTTTTGTGTTTAATAGTCGTAAAATATTTTACATAAAAAAAAAAAAAAAAATCTGATAAAAATAACTTATTCATCAATTTACACGTCTCACCCAATAGACTCAGCGTCAACCTCGATCTAAACCCTTGCCAAAAATCAAAAAATAAATATTAAAAATATTTTTCTTTCACTTGGCAGAGTAAAAATAGTTCATTTAAAACCAAAATATAATATGCCTTTCAAAACAAAAACTATCCAAAAATAGATAAACAAAAATAACTCTTAAAGAAAGTAACAACTGAATATTTAACAAAACAAGAACTTTGTAGGAAATATTCAACAAAACAAAAACTCGTAAAGAAGGAACATGAACAAATCAATAAAATAAAAATCCTAGGTTATTCAACCATCTATTCTTGTTGATATTCAAAAACTTCAAATGAAATTTCTGTTCTAGATTTTGTAAAACTCAGTTTCTTATAGAAGCATTCCAACACATTCAAGAGATATGCAAACTCAGTATGTGAAGACGGAAAAAATATGGAAAGAGTTTGTTTTTCTATTACTCTAATTAGAGGGAAAAGAGAAAAGAAATAAAAAGAGATGTAAAGAATCGTGTATGAGTTGGGATTTTATGATAGTAAAGTTTGAATAGTGCTTGAGTTTGAAAGATTTTAGATTAGTTCATTATGGAAAGAATTGTATTTATGTAAGTCTATTTTTGTCGAGACACCATAGTAGTCAATTAAATCATTATTTATTTTATTATTATTTTTTATTATTATTTTTTTTTTGTATATAGAGATTGACGTCAAACCTAAAGAATATTAATCACATCAGTTGCACTCAAATCTAATTGTATGACCTAAAGAATATTAATTCTGAGAGGAATATTCATTTCATTAAACTATATAAGTTGTAACAACGTTACACTTCATGTCATACCACTAGTAATTAAATTGGCCTTCTTTCCTGGGTAGTTGCACAATGTTATATAGAAATTTATTTATTAATTCTGAGAATATGTAACTGTTGATCAAAGTCCTAATCCATTTGTTTTGATGGTAACAAATCAATTAAAGGAGTCTTATATTCTAATATTTCAACTGAGTTTAAATGCAAGGAAATAAATGCTTCTTAATTGAAGAAATGAAAGGATCTTCATGCCATCATATGGACTCAGATGCACATTCCTGAAACATAAAGAGGCTGTAAACATTCTATAAAGAATATGGTTAACTAACGCACGAGAGGATGCAAAACAAGAGAATGCAAATGTTTTACAAGGCAGAGGCAAAAATTCAAAGAACAGCATGCCATACGTTGACCGGTTCATGCCATACGTCCACCGGTATGTACTCAGAGGCAAAATTCAAAGATCAACTCATATACATCGACCGGTTTGAAACATACGTCGACCGGTATCTATGTAGTAGCCAATTCGAGGAGAAGCTCATATACATCGACCGGTTCATGCCATACGTTGACCGGTATGTATTTAGAGGCAAAATTCAAAGATCAACTCATATACGTCGACCGGTTTGCACATACGTCGATCGGTATCTAGGCAGTACTGAAATCTCAGGAACTCAACATATACGTCAACCGGTAAGTAGCATACGTCGACCGGTTTGATAAAGGATACGTCGACCGGTTTATGGCATACGTTAAACGGTTTGGTCGCAGCTCTGCAGATTCAAATTCCAACGGCTAGAATTTGATTTAATGCTTCCAACTACCTACAACAGCTCTATTGAACTCAAAATCTCTTCAAATACAGATAAATGGTCTACAAACAAACTTACTTCTTTTAGAGATTATTCAAGAATATCATCCAAGTGCATTCAAGAGCATTAAAAGGAGTCTAAAATTCTGATCTGAACATTGACTTCTTATTCTTTTTCTCATATCAGTTTAAGAGACTAGAGCTTTATTTATTTCATTCTTCTACTCTAATGTGAGACTAATTCTTGTAATATCCTTTAGAGAGAGAGAGAGAGAGAAAGAAACAATATTGTAATCTTTATATATCTCTACATTCTTGTAAGGGTTGGTGTGACCCAAAAGCAAAGCTAAAGAGAAGGGCGTTCGCCTAGTAAGGAAAGAAGCAAAGTCTTGCTTCAAGATGAAGGTTTGCTCTCCACCATTAAGGAGGAGCTTTAGTGATTTGGAAAGTCTCAAGGAAGGACCTTAAGCCGAGGAGTAGGAGCTTCCAAACTTCGCTAAATTGCCGAGTCACTGTTTGCAATTCTCTATCTCTATACTCTATAATTGTGCTTATATTGCTTAAATATTTTTATTGTGTATTGCATTCTATTTAGTTGGAAACAAATTTTTAAAATTACAAACATTGGCCATTGACTCTATTCACCTTCCCCCTAGAGTCAATTATTGACTAACAGTAACAACAAAGGGTCTGTTTATTTGGATATAAAATATTTTTTTTTTATTTTTTAGTATTTAGTTATCGTAAAATATTTATGAAAAAAAATAGTATTAAAACTTAATAAAAATAATTTATGTATCAATTTTCGACAAATTATTTTATATTTTTCATTCGACGAACTCGATTTTAACTTCGAAACATATCTTTGTAAAACATCAAAAAAAACTTAATTCTATCATTTGACATAATGTCTAGAGACATATATATGTATACATTACATCGAAACAAGTCAAGCCAACTTGTGATTTGTGGGACGAAAAGCTTATAGTGTAGTCACTAGTCACTAGATACTAGGTCAATGGATGGAATTAAGACAGGAAAAAAATATATATATAAAAAAAAAAATTGATGGAATTAAGATTCCTCTTTATGCTACTGAGAAACAATCACATATGGTCAACGGACCCATTGGCTGAGTCAGACTGCAAGAGCATTCATATTAGTGCATTTCCTTGTGAGCGGGATGGAACCTCAATTTCTTACTATGTAACCCAAGTCACACGGAGGGTCGGAAGTAAGAGCAAAGTCAAAATTACAAAAGATAGTAGGAATATAAACGAATGTACTAACAGAGTATGAGAATACGAGCGCGATTATAATGTAACACCTGTCGAAAATAATTACGTAACTTAGTATGTAATCTTAAGAGTAGGTTATAGACAATATAGAGTACAAACTAGTTCGGCCAGAAGTCCCAGACACACGATTTGGTGATGATTAGTAATGGGCTAAGAGTGTTTGTTAATTTGTTCTTGACAAGGACCCTGATCTCACATGAGCTTGTCTCATCACTTAAGTCACTATAATTCAGAAGTAACCCATGTGGTGGGCTTTTAATAAGTAGCACTCAATGTCAACATTGGAGTATTATCTAGGGTAGAGATTACTTAATTTAGTTAAGTTAATTTGATGGTTCCAATCATCAATCAATAAAATCAATATTAAACTTCTGGTATATAATCTAAACTTCAAGTAACCCCAACACGTTTTTCGAATTATGTTTATATAAAATTAAAATAATAATAATGTTCTTAGGCATCCTTCTCTTAAGAAAGTTACAAGCTCTCTTATTTTTATTTTATTTTTAAATAACTGGTTTGGATTTTTACACATCTCAAAAAACTGTTTCATCTAATGATTAAAGAAAAAGAGTTTATAACTCTTCTTATGAGAGGGTCCTTTTAAGAGTATTTCGAATTAAAATATATATATATATAAGTGAATTTTGATTTTGAATTTTTTTTTTTAAATGTGGGTTTTGTTGGCTCTCTCTTTTTGTAATGAAGTTAACTTGAAACTTCCCTTTATATATATGTATCAAAAAAGGTTCTAAGTTTTTCTTTTACATAGAGATCTCTCTTATTTAGTTATCCACACGTTTAAATTAAATATTACAAACATGAGTTATATATTTTTGACTAATTTGGTTTTTTTAAAAGAAAAATTAGATAGAAAATTGAAGATTAGAGAAAGTAGAGAAGAGTGGTGGATCGCTTTAGAAGAGAGAGTAAAGAAAGGAGCTAATGAGAGGAATGGCAAGAGAGGAAAATGTAAAGAGAAACATAGATGATAGAGAGAGAGAGTATTGTGGATTTTTCTGGAGCAAGAATATATATATATATAGAAAGGAAAATGATTTTTGTATGAATTGTTAAACTAATTGTTTATAATTGGTCATTTATGCTACAAATAAAAAAGTGTGATCACTCACTTACTTGTATTTAGATAAAAAAAAAACCAATAAAAATTATAGAGTTAGGTAATTCAATACAAGTATTCAGTATAAATATCACTATTCTGAAATGGACTAGTGTTATAGACCGAGCAAAAATATATAATGGGAGTGTGTTAAAACAAGATATATATGCATATTAGTATGTATGCATATGAAGTTGTCACTTGACTAATGGGCCATTAGCCCAGAAAAATTCGACCCTTTATGAAATTGGGGTTCCTCGTAACTTTTGGCACTAAACAGTTGGGTCAAACCTAGCAGTCTTAACTCTTGATAAACTTGAGCCTATGGCACCATGTGTTCATATAAAGGCCCGCTTCGTTCACTTTTTTTTATTTTTAGAATAAACTTATATTTTAAGATTTCAGCAAAATATATATATATAAATAAAAAAAAAATAGTCCAGAAAATTATTTTGT